CAACACTCTGACAAGAAAGGAGGACAGCAGAGGAGAGAACAAGAGTACCCCCCAAAAAGATGATTGTACTGTAAGTGACAAATGTGAAAGAGGATGAAAGGTGGAGGAGAGGAGAGAAGGAGGGTTAGTTTTTATTGACCACTGTCATCTATCTGTCCATCTGTAACACAGGTTCTTATGTAGTCAAAATAAATAAAGCTGGAGTGGTTAATACAATGGCATTGGACCTGGACTCCCTATGAAAATACAGTTTGTCTATTTTACTTTTACAATTTATACTCTTAATAAATTTTGATATTTTGAGAATGAGCAACAACACTGTTCTTTAAATGCAATCACCCCGTAACAGGTACTTATTCACAAAACAAAAGGATTGAATATTTACTGTAAAATTAAGTTGCACATGTAACCCACTTCCAGGTATGCACACGTCACAGACTAGGTTCGTAGAGCTGAGAGATTCATCCAAGTGCACTTTTCCAGGTAGACTCAAGCTGGTGTCAGTCAAAGTGACTGGCACGATCATACCATAAACAGATTGGTAGTCCGCTGTATGGGGGTGTGGAGACTCTGGATTCAAGCTGGGAGGCTCGCATCAACGGGTCAGAGAATCTGCCTTCCTGGACATGAGGGCTAGAATCTTCACTTTTCTTGGACTCATCAAAAAGACCTGACCTGCACAAACAGGTTTATCGTCTAAATTCTTATATATTCATCTCGTTCATTATTATCAAAGTGTTTTAAAACTATAAATGCATTTTCCAAATATTAACTGTATAAAGTTAGAACAAGCAGATAACAGTTACTTTGGTGACTTTCAATTATTACCGTGTCTGAATAATTCCATTGTAACACACTACAGACAAAAAAAATATTGAAATGTGATTATTTGGTCACAATTTAAACAATTTACCTTACTAATGAATTGCACATTATGCTTCAAAGTAAAATGCATAAACTTTGTTCAACATTTATGCAACATCTCTGTTTAACTCTCTTTTTAACATTTTTTTATATTTTAAACCTAAATACATTGCTTTCAGATCCATGAATTAACATTAATTACATTTTTACTGTCTTTAACATATGAAATTAGCTATTTACAATCAAATACCTTTCATGTAAATGAATATGAATTTACTGTAGTAACCCTGCGTGCATTACTGCAGATATTTGGTTCAATAATTTAATAAAATGTCCACAGTAACATAAATACTCTGTAAATTAACTTAAAGTGTGCAAAATAACTTTTTTCAATCACTATCATCTAAACAACCTGACATGTGATCATACAGTAATTAACACAAGTGAGAGCTAGCTTACCAAGGGATGGTGTTGTGTTTACCCACTAACTTCACTCCCTCTGTGCTCATCCACGCTCTAGACAGGATTTTTACAAAGTTAACACCATTAACAGACATAACCAAAAGTTTAAGCACCAAAAATATATGGTTTTCATACCTTTTCCTCTCTTTTCTCATCACATGTGAGTGAAAGAGCACGGCTCCTTCAGTCAATTAACGAGGTTAAGCTAGATGCGCTTTTCTAAGCATCGCACTTCCTGTATTATCAAAATAAAACTTCCGGTTTTCAAAATAAAACCCAGTATCAATAAATGTATGTAGAAAACAACTAAAATTGTACTTGAACCCTAACTGGTGGGTTACACATACAATTTCTGAAATTTTAATAAACCTTATTTTTGTTTCATACATTTTCAAAACAGTATTCTTGGATGAACAACTCAAAACTCATTATGTTATCTGTGGGCTCACACACACTCAATGACACAATAATAATATTGAACCTCTCTGGCCTGTTTCTTGAAGCTTGTGTGCAGTGAGACATAAAACTGTAATGGCTGCTTCACTAATAGATGAGAACAAACTAAAAGCAGGTGGAGTGTGTGTTTGTACTCACAAACCCGCAGGTTTGGGTAGTAGAAGTACAATGGGGGAAGAAAACATGGAGTCACAATGAGGAAGTGAAGTCAGCCGGACAGAACACACCTGAACACAGACAGACCAAAACCGGATCTCTCTCCAGTGACCGCCTTCCTATAGCATATGAATCCAACTGAGACTCAATATAGAACACTATTTCATGTTGAAGTAGCATTAGCTCTCTTCAGCCTAAAAAACACCAAAATGTTATAGCTACAATATACAGGCCTAATAGCACTGAATGTTAGCACCATGTCAGAGCTTTGTATCATTAGCACCACTAGCATCAATAAAACCACTAGCATCATTCGTTTCACATCAGTAGCATCAACACATGTAGCATCATCAGCACAATTACTAACGTCATCAGAATGACCAGCATAATTTCAACCACCAGAATCATTGAAATCATCAACATCATGACTATCATTATCATCTACATAATTAGTATTATTAGCATCACCAGAATCACTAGCATCCGTTTTATTATTATTATTAACATCAGTTACATCATCATTAGCATCAATAGGATCATCATTAGCACCAGCATGTTGTAAATAAGTTACATGTACTTACCACCTGATCAGACTGAAACACTTGTTAACACCGCAAGGTTTCCATGTTCCATCTGATCAGAGATGAAGAATGGATGAACAGGTGAGGCCCTTCTGTGTGTCCTGGAGCTGTTCCCTCCAAAAACCCTCCATCTCCTCTGAATCTTGAAATGATCTTCAAAACAGTGCTATTGAATTAGCAACTCACAACTCAACATGTTAACTTTGGGCCCTCACACAATATGACCTTGAATCCAAGCTAACCGAAATTAGTTTGAATCCAAGCTAACCCGGGAAATGGCGCGCAAAGTCACAATGAAGAAGTGCAGCTCCGGACAGGACTGACCCTCAAAACACTTCTCTCTTTCTCTCTGATAGCCATATCCTTAAAAAACTACTTTGAGCCAAGGCATCAAACACTATCTTATTTTGAATCAGCGTTAACTTGCTACAGTTTCAGAAATGTCACCATGCTAAAGCTATAATATACAGGCCCAATAGCACTGAATGCTAACGCTAATTAGCAAGTCGCTAACCGTCTTACACTGCCTATCTCCTTAAACTATGATAGCTCGAGAACAAAATACAGGCATATATATCATGTTGACCTGGTGCAGGTCACCCAAAAGCATATCAGGACGTCCAAGGTAAAACTTACATTCTCCCGGTACCACCTTTCCTCCTGTCGCTCTGTCTCTAACTCTGATGTTGGCGCTCAATTCTCCCCACACCACCTGCCCACTAAGCCCGCCCCTTCACAGAGACGGCACTGTGATTGGCTGGTGAATTTTAACAACCAACGCCAAAACAGGAATGACATGATTGACAGGTAACAGGTTAGATAACACATGTAGATAAAAATATTCGAAGACTTGATAAACATAACTAACTTTTTATTAATATATCTACTGTCTGTTAAATCCTCATTTAGTTTTTTAAAAAGTGCAAGATCATGTCATATTGATTAAAAATATCATATGTAATAAATCTTTTCTCCCCACAAACGGTCAGTCACGACTGATGCTGATTTTCAGAACTTCAAAAAATATTTATTCAAACAGGAAGCTCATCTCTTACTGTTAAAAACGTAGGTCTTAATGCTAATTTAATCATATTTGAGAGTCTCTGGATTGCAGGATCTCAATCATCATCATGGTTTTATGTTTAATTATGAACATAGATAATTGAGAAATAAGATCCAGACCTTTATACATCTTTATAACAGCCTTGGCATAGATCATTAGTTCAGCTCTGCATTAGTTACAACTCAATACATGTGGATAGAATTATGGAGTAAAACAAGAATTTAAAACTATCAAAGAATAACACAAGAAAACAGCATCAGGTTCACATAATGACTAGTTCACATATCTAAGATGTGTTTAAGGTGCAGTGCACATCGCTCTCTTACAGGTTAATGATATAGATGACTAAACAGTTCTACATAGTGCTTGTTCTTTGGAAATAATCGGTTTTCATTGTATCTGTCAACATTTGCAGTCCTATTGTTATTATCAGTTATTTGTTGTACAATTGGGGGATTACAACTGCCAATAAAATGTAGTTACTCTAAACTTGATACATACAAGGGGTTACATATGTGATAAAAATCAACATTGGTACAACAGCTGGGACCTATGAATGTGTTATTTTTTGGACAGCTTCTGGCGATCTAAGAACTTCTGACGTCTTTC